GAAAAACAGAAAAATTAGATAGGTACAGGGTGACATGAGGTCCAGGCAGCGATTTTTATATTAGAGAAACAGGCCGGGGGAGGGGGGGAGTGAAGGGAGAGAAGTAGAGGTTAAATATATGGTTGGTTGTTGCTAGTGTATAGAAATAAAAAAATGTTTTTGTATCCTGCAACGTTTTTACATTCACTTGTTAGTTCTACTAATTTTTTTGTTTTTTTAAATATATCTTTATTGATTTCAGAGAGGGGAAGGGAGAGGGAGAGAGAGAGAGTAACATCAATGATGCGAGAGTCATTGATAGGCTGCCTCCTGCACACCCCTGACTAGGAATTGAGCCCACAATCCGGGCATGTGCCCTGACCGGGAATCGAACCACCATCTCCTGGATCCTAGGTCAATGCTCATCCACTGACCCATGCCCAGTTGGGCCTACTAGCTTTTTTATAGCCGCCATAGGATTTTGTACATAGACAATCATGTCATCTGTGAACAGACATTTTTACTTCTTCCTTTTCAGTCTGGATATCTTTTATGTCTGTTTCTTGTCTTATTACACTGGCTAGGACCTCCAATATAATGTTGAGTAGAAGCATGAGAGCAAATATCCTTGTCTTATACTTTGTCTTAGGGGGAAAACATTCAGTTTTTATTATTAAGTGTGATGTTAGCAGTCCTTTATTAGATTGAGAAAGTTCCCCTCTGTTCCTAATAAATATATATATTTATATGATTAGTGTAAGAATTCACCAGTGAAGCCATCTGAACCTGAAGTGTTTTTATTTTGTTTGTTTGTTGGTGGGAAAGTTTTTAACCAGGAATTCAATTTCTTTAATAGATACGTAGCTATTCAGATCTTTAAAAAAGTAATGTTTGGTCATTTGTATCTTTCAAGGAATTTGGCCTTTTAATCTCAATTGCCCAGTTCTTTGTCATAAAGTTGTTCAAGTTATTTCTTTTTTCCTTTTAATACCTGTAGACTTTATAGTGATGTCATGTTGCTCATTCCTAATGTTGGTAATTTGTGTCTTCACTCTTTTTTCGTAATCAGTCTAGCTAGAGGTTTATCAGTTTTAATTATCATCTTTTTTAAAAGGTGGGGAAGGGAGCTTTTGATTCCACTTACTTTTGTATATTTTTTGTTTGCTTTCTATTTTATTGATTTCCACTCTTATTTTTGTTTACTTTGGGTTTAATTTGCTCTTCTTTTTCAATTTTCTTATAATGAAGTCTGAAGTCAGTGATTGGAAATCTTTCTACTTTCCTAATGTAGGTATTTAGGGTTATCCATTTTCTTCATTTTAAAATAGTTTATAATTTTTTGTTTTATTTTTTTACCTATGGATTATTTAGACGTAAGTTACTTCATTGTCTGATATTAATGTAGCCACTTTGGCTAGCTGTCTTTCTTCTTCCTTTTTTTATGTTTCTAATTCAAATTTAATATTATAAAATTCTAAATATAACTTTAATTTTATATTTATATCTTTCCTCTTGATTGAAAATCTTTAATCCCTAACAACATTAACCTAATTATTTCTTTTATCGCCTGTATCTTATCTTGTAAGATATAGAAAATAGATTTAAAGTAATACTACTATTACTACCACTGACAGGTAGGTTACTGAATAAAGTTTAAGAGATCTTTCTGTTGTTTGTTCTAAGAATATATATCACTTAGGATGTAGAGTCAAATACTGTGTTCTAGTCCCTTGAAATTAATTCTCTTTCTTTTTTAGTGGTTCCTCAGGTTTTTTATTTTTAAGCATTGCTTCTTAAGTTTAATTTTACTTTTGAAATATAAAAGTTTTTATGTTTCCAAAGTCAGAACTTACATAAGGTATATTTGGAGAAGTATCACATCCACTCCCAACCCTGTAGCCTCCCTTACTCCTTTGTTTAAAAGTTGTGGATTTTCTTTCCATTATTTTTTGAAATATAAGCAAATACACACACATACATATATAAGTAAAAATTAAAATATATTTGCATTTCACACTCGATTCTGTAGCGTTCTGTAACTCTCTTTTTTAAGTTAATAATGCATCCTGAAAATTACTCCGTATCAGAGTAATTAGAGAATAGAGATTTATCTTGCTTTTTTTGACAACTACATAGATTTCCAATATAAAGATTTACTATAGTTTATTCACTCAGAGCCCTACTGATGGACGTTTGGATTGTTATTACCCATGCACTTAATGAGCTTGCTTCCTTTTTTTTTTCTCATTTGTTTTTGTTAATCCTAACCTGAGGATATTTTTTCCATTTATTTTGTTTTTTAGAGAGAGTGGAAGGTAGGGAGCAAGGGGGAGAGAGGAAAACATCAATGTGAGAGAGACATATCGATTGGTTGCCTCCCACACACCCTGACCAGGGCTGGGGATTGAACCTGCAACCCAGGGACATGCCCTTGACTAGACGCGAACCCAAGATCCTCCAGTGCACAGGCCGATGCTCTAACCATTGAGCACTCCAGCCAGGGCTAATGAGCTTTCTTTTGATTAAGTATTAGCATAGTATATATTTTTCCATTCTTTCACTTTCAACCTAATTTTATCTTTATATTTAAAGTGAGTTTCTTATAGATAGCATATAATTTCCTTTTTTGTTCAATCTAAAAATGTCTTTTTAATTGGCTTGTTTAAACCATTTACACATCTATTTAATATGTGTTTATTGCTCTGTCTTTGTGTCTACTAATCTTTTCTTCTGCCATATCGAATCTTCTGTTGTTCCCACTCATTGTGTTTTTCTTTTCAGACCTGTATTTTTCATTTCTAGACTTTAAAATTTTAATGTCTTCTATGTCTCTACCAAACATATGAAATGTAGTTATAACAACTGGATTTTAATATCCTTATCTACTTATCATCTGTGTCATTTCTGGTCCTGTTAATATTGATTTGTTTTTCTTTTTTATTGTGGATTGTGGGCTTCAGGAATTGTTGCCTTTGCTCTTTCCAAATGGTTCTTTCCCAGGCCTCAGATAGGGACCCTTGGAGGACTCACCTTGTTTGTTCCCCCCTCAGAAATGACTATACTCTGCTGATGATTGTGTCCTTTTTTTAAATAAAGTTTTTTTCTGGTGGGAGGGTAAATCTATTCCCTGTTACTCCCATCTTGGCTGTATGTAGAAGTTAACATTTGTCTTTTCATTAAAAAAAAAAAAAAAAAATTTAAGGAAAAGATTCAGATTATTCTGTATTATAAACTAGTTTGGACTAAATTTATTTTCCTGTGTAATTTCTAAAAATAAATGTATTGATATCAAATGCTTTATATGTGATATGTAAACAAGATATACGATAATGTAGTATACTGTGGTTATTTTCAACATTTTCTACTCATTTATGGTTTATGATATGAAATTGTTTGATTTACCAATTAGAAGAATAGTTGTATCCTATGTATTTGAAACATAGTATTTCATAATATATGCAGCAAATAAAATAATCTGTATTTATATTACTGTTTTTCACAAAACTTTTATACTCCTGATGATTTTTATAGACCGATACTTTTGGCTTATAAATAAGTATTATTGTTTTGGTTTGTGGGTATTACTGTTGAAGTCTTTGTATACCGAACTGCATTTTTCTCAGTTTTTTAATACTTCATAAAATTATAGTAAATTTTTATAATTAAGATTTCTCATAAATAGTGTTTACATGAGAGAAATTTTGTATTACAAGGAGAGTAATACAATATATTCAGGCTCCATGGGAATGTAGAAGGATGGACACTAGATTTTAGAAAGTTAAGAAAGAAGAAGTTGAGTCTTGGCCCACTTCTTACAAACTTTGTATCACCTTATTAGCCTTATTTTGTTACTTTCTCACTAACCTTTTTGAGCCGCCTTCTTTAAAATGGCATGATGGTACTTTGATACTCTACTCAAAGGCAGTTGTGAAAATTGGTTGCATTTTGTGAAAATACCTAGTGAACTGCAAATGTTATATAAAAACCAGGTATCGTTCTGAAGTTTAACCTGAGAAGTATAAGTTTCACATAGTATGTACAGTGGGAAAGTTTGACTGTACCTACGCCTAACAATAATAACCAGAATAATTATCTTCGTCTGCTCTTTCTTTGGCTAGTTTCAGAAATACTTAAAATTTGGTTTTTGATACCCAATTTAATAGAAATGAGTCATATTATCATTTCTTTCTTCACTTGGCAGCACACCATTTGTACTTCACCACATATATGATCTGTGGGTTGTGGAGAGAAATAAGGATGTTGCTCAGTAACCCACATCTTTCAGTGAAGAATATGTCTCAGCAGCATTGAGTTTCTCTTGGGCATCAGGAAATGCAGACCCTTAGATGTTAAACTGAAATCATGAACTCAGTCATATTTAGTGAGAAAATTTAAGGAGCAGGTCATTGCGTCAGACTCTGTGATCTCTGTAAATCCAACTACTGTTACCCAGGGAGTGGATTAGATACCTTGATTTTTATGGTCTAAAGCCTTTTCAACAGAATGCTGCAGGAGCTGTTACTGAGAATCAGAATAAAAGGCTACAGAGCTGTGCGAGGCTTGCCCTCTGTATATGAATCAGATGTTAGGTGGAAACCACAGTTGCTTCCTTGTTTCTCATTCATGCTTTAGCAGAGGCTGTGCTGCCTTAGACCCAGCTTGGTTTTGCAGCTTCTCCTTAAGGTTCACACCGCTGCCTTTTCCTTTAGAAGCACAGCAGTTCTAATGTGTTGTCAAGCCACAAAATGCACCTTGTTAGTTATTTAGGGGTGATATGCGTGCTAACTATTATTTGGTAGTCTGAGTACTGATTGTGGCATTCTTGTATAATCCTGTTCTGGAAATATAGCATAAGTAAATGCATACATCCATGTATTTGGGGCAGGTGGTATATAGGCATACAGCTGCAGGCACGTGGAAAACAATTTTAACCCTTTGAATATGTTAATTTGTATTTAAAGATAATGTTTTATATTGTTTAACCTGAATATCATATATCATTTTCTTTTATTCTTCCTTAGCATCAAGGCATGCCATGGGTTGCCTCTCATAAATGGACAAAGCTGTGACCCGTATGCAACAGTTTCTCTGGTGGGCCCTTCTAGGTAATGTTTATTGAATTATAAGATTTTTTAAGTTTTAAAGTTTGGTGTAAGAATTACAAAATTAAGGTTCTAAGAGCAAATGCTAAATAGCTACTTAGGACACAAAGTAACGCTTTGAAAGAAAAATCTTCAGTAAGTTCTGTTACACACTTGTAAACAACCAAGTCCAGTTTTTGTAGAAAGAAAATGGGTGTCATTTCAAATCTGTCAGACTCTTAGGCTGTGGGGAAGGAACATCATCAGTTTTATAGTAGTTAAAATGTACTTTAAAACACAAACTTGACCTTCCTTATTGATGCATCAATCTTCCTCCTGGCAGATGTCTTAGATTTTATGTAGGTAAAATCCTGTTTTGATAAATGCTAGCTCAGAATAAGGCAGTTTCCATATTGTTATCTGGAAAGCAGCTTGGGACTAAAAACGCCTTTTCTGCTCATGGCATCTGTGCTTTGCAGAGAGAATTCCAAGCTGCAGACAAACTGCTGAAGTGCCAGAACATGGTGAAGTGCACCTGCCAGATCATATATTCAAATCACTCAGGATAATTTAGGGGAAAACCTGTAGCACTTTGTACTATTTTGTATTTCATAACTTCATTATGGTTTTTTTCAGAGCCTGACTAGTCTGACATTTGTGTACAACTGGAAGGTTTAGAATCAGGAAACAAAGAGCACAATATGCCCTCTACACAAACACAACATTCACACACAGACGCACACCCCTTCTCCCGATCCCCAAGCTCTCTAGGTATTCTTATTTTTTAGAAAATCACCAGTGAGTTGCTTTGAAAAATGTATTTATGTATGCACGTGTGTGTGTATGTGAAATACCTAGCACCATGCCTGGTACTTATTGGGTACCCAACAGATACCCAATCCTATAACATTCATGCTATCAGAGGAATTTAATTTTGCATGTTAAAAATATTTAACCTCGTGGAGCTGTTTTTGTTTTTTGTCTTTGTTTATAATCTATAACTGACAGGCAAATTCTTAAGTGTAATTGTTTAGTAACATACAGATAGAAACTATTTGGCATGTTAATCTTTTATAAAGTCACTGTTGGTTTTGATTGTAATATAATTATATACAATGTTAACTTTGGGGGAGGCTGGAGAAAGACTTCGTGGGACTTCCCTATACACATTTTTGTAACCTCCTCTGAATCTATAATTATTTCAAAATAAAAAGTGTTTTTCATAAAGCCACATTATAGCTAAATCCTGAGAAGTAAACTGTGTTGAGAATGCTTTTCATGTGTCTCAGGTATTTTTTCAACATACATAAAAGTACTCTGAATCTCATTGTCTTCCTTCTGCCATTTATTCTAAGTTGCTTATATATTAGAATGTTATTAAAAACCCCTGACTGACATAAGCTTGGCAGTCAATCTAGTATAGCCATTGAGAGAATAATACAGTTTTGCTATATATCAGGTACACAAAACTTGTGTATTCTGATTTGAATTTTTAGACACCTAAGCCTCACCCCCACCCCACCCCCACCCCCAAGTAATACTTAAAACTACGGTCTTCCCTAAGTCATCTTAACAATTAAATGGAGGTCAGGCTCCCTGGTTGGAAATAGCATGTTTTATAATTGTGTACTGTTAAGTTCTACAAGGTAAAACTCTACCACATTGGAACAGGAATGACCAAAAGAAGACTAAAGTAAAGAAGAAAACAAGCAATCCGCAGTTCAATGAAATCTTTTATTTTGAGGTAACTTTTTGTTTTATATAAATATTAACATTGAATATTTAATACTGAATGCTGATTTATTTATTTTTTTCAAATTACAGCCATAGGAATCATTTTACCAACTAATGCAACTAAGCATTTCCCTCCTGAAAGCAGTAGAGCCATGGTGCAGTGCAGTGGAGGCTCAGTATATAAAACCATTGAAGGCAGAGCTCTGATTGATTTGGGAATGGGGAGGTCTGGGAGCATACCCACTTCCAAGTCATCCTCAATATCACACCCTTCTCCATACACCCCTCCCCACCTCATCCAGCCCCCGCCCCCCACTGCCTGACACAGTGGCCACAGGACTCTTCTACAGAGCACTGTTTGAATACCACTAGTGAAGTCAGCATACATCACTTGCTACCAAGTGATTCTAGTCCCAGTTGACTATGAACAAATCACTAAATGTGAGGCTCAAGTTTCTTATCTTGTGAAAAGATAATTTTTTAAAAGAAAATAGTAGCAGCCCTACCTAACTGATGGAGTTTTTATGAGGCCCAAGTGTGATACTGTTTTGAGAGACTGTAAAGTCTACTCTGTGGACAGATGCTTATTTTCATAGAGATCTTCACCTGCCTTGAAGTTGCCCCAATGACATTACTTTGGAGTTCTTTACTGTGGAGCATTTCTTAAATTTGTTAAAGAAATCCTTTTTCCTATTATTTGAAAACTACAGGGGGGGAAAATAGTCAAACTCTCCATTCTAAAAGATTGTGTCCTAGCTGTAGAATATGTTGCAGTTGAGATTAACATGTAGGGTAGATTTGAAAGAAACAGTTGTATTTTGTGCTTTTCATTTTGTGTGTGTGGTTGACATTTCCAAGGGGAGAGTGAGATCCCATCTAGCCATGCCTGATGGCTGCACTTTAATAAAAGGAGCCTAGGTTGAAGAAAATGCCAGAATTGAAGTAGGAAGAACTGTGGAGATGGAGGCAAGGGAGAAGGAAAACGAAAGAAAACATGCCGGCGTGAGACTTCGTTCCCTGGCCCAGGACCAGTTCAGTTCTGTGTGTATTAATGGTTGTTACACTGGCCTGGAGAAAACACGGCAGGGGCAACTCGGAGCAAGCAGATGGCCCTTTGAAAGTCAAGACCTAACCTGCTTGCTCTGTCCAAGCATATACCTGTTAGGCCTTGAAACAGTCATTCAAAGGTTACTTTGTTGAGCTAATTATAAGGTTCAATGTCTGTCCTCTAGTGGAGCAAGAGACACAAAATGCACATAACATGTGTACACTCTGCTCCGGCTGAGTTAGCAAAGTCAGAGAAAAGAGAGTATTGGAGAGAGGGAGCATTTGGAGATAGGAGAGCAGAAAGTTGTGTCCAAAGAATAGCAAGTAGTAATTTGACTGGAAGGTTTATGTAAGGGGATAATGGGAACTGAGCTTAAAAAGGCAGAGTAGGCCCACCTAGTGAAAGCCTGATTGCCTGCCTGAGGTGCCTAACTATCAGCCACGGAAGGTTTTGGACCTGGAACTGTAAGAGTAATGCAGTGTTTGGGGGAGAATTAACTGTGATCTATGGGCCAAATAGAAGGGGGAGGAGGAAGGGAGATAAGAGACTGTGGTAGTCTAGCTGTTTAAAAAAAGGTGGGTGGGAGGGGAGGAAGTGGATCGGATCCAAGAGAGTAACATGGAAATAGAGAAGAAGGGACAGGTGAGAAAGAAATGGCAAAGGGCAAGGGAGTGAATTACTTACAGAAAAGACAAGGAGGGAGTTAAATGTTGTCTTCATGATTTCTTATGTGGAGAAATAGAAAAATTAAGAGAAGGAAAACAGAAGTGGTTCATTTGGGGGCACAGTGAGCTTGAGGTCTGACATGTAAAATCCCCCAATAAGCAGGTTATGACTGAAATTTAAGATGGGTGATGGCTGCAGATAAAGACTCAAGATTTGCTTACAGAGAGTCGAGAAAGCCAAGAGGGCGGGGGTACACAGTGAAGGAGAAAAGTGAAGGCCGCGGGCCTGGCACTCGTTCGGCATTCAGCTGAGCATGTCTCTTCATTTCTGTACTGTCGCTTCCTCATTTCTGATGAGGATAATAAATCTAGCTGCCTGCTTCAGAGCAGCAATCTGATGAAGAAGGGAGATAATGGACCTGAAAGCACTGTGTAAACTGTGCAGCACTTGCAGCCCTCAGAACAAAATAAAAGATAGAAACCTGAGAGAAAACCCATACTTACGGGTCTGTGGAAGGAGAGGTACAAGAGAAAGAGGCAGAGGGAGCACAAGGTTGCCAGGACAGAGCCTGGGCAAACTCAAAGAAAAGGGTGTTTCTGGGAAAGGAGGTCTGGTTGCATGATGACTCGTCCAGATAGAGGGGTCAGTGAAGGTGAGAAGGAAGAATTCATCATCAGACTTGGTGATTAAGAGCAGGGTTTTAGGCGGGTGACCTGTGAGGAAGCCAGATTAGGAAGCATTGCTGTAGTGCGTGGGTGGTGAGGAAGTGGAGGCTGTGAGGATGGTTACAGTTTTCACATGCTTGTCTGTGAAAGGAAGGAGATCGAAGGACAGTAATTTAAGGGGAGAACTTTTCTTAGTCTTGAGTGAGGTTAACAGGCTGGTAAAGCTGTAATTAAAAGAGCGAGAACGCTTACGGCGCACTCCGTGTGGGTAGAGTAGTTTAAGAAAAGAGGTGGATCATATTATCTTGTTCAGAAGAGGGTGAGAAAACTCCAGTAGAAAGGACTTTATGGGAATGGACATATTCAGGTGGACTGTAGTTGAGGAAGTTCCTGCCAATGGCCTTGATACTTTCAGTAAAAATGAGAAGGAAGTATAAGGGTGGCATTGGTATCTTGAGAAATGTGAGACGGTGCAGCTTCACTGAAACAGAACAGTTTACTCACTGAGCCACCAACAGATTACAGATGAGCAGAGACCCTGATGTTGCTTTATATTGAGTTGATAAGGAAGGGTATGGAGGCAAGGTTGCTTTTCATATTTTTTTTAATCCTCAAATGTTTATTGATTTGAGGGAGGGAGGAAAAGAGGGAGGGGGAGGGGGAGAGAGGGAAGGAGAGAAACATGGATCAGTTGCCTACTGTACATGCCTTCGCCGTGCATCAAACCTTCGCCCTTCAGGTGTATGGGATGGCGCTCCAGCCAGTTGAGCCATCCTGCCAAAGTTGCTTTTGATATTTTTACACCACCTTATTCTTAACCTCCCTGCTGCTTTCATGGCTGGTTTTGAATTTAGCTTTTGGGTAAAATATTACCGAGGCATTTTCCTCTGTTTGTAATAAACAAAATTGAACATTTTAGAGATGATTGTTTTTTTAAGTTCCTGTAGGAAAAAGATATCTAAAATTGTTTTTGACTAGAATATTTTGTTTACAGGTAACCAGATCCAGTAGTTACACCAGAAAGTCCCAGTTCCAGGTAGAAGAAGAGGACATTGAAAAGCTAGAAATTAGGTATGTGTGTTGGGATTTTATAGAATTTCTTTTTTCTGTGCCAAAAGAAAATTCTAAATTTAACTGGAAAAGGTGAATCAAGCTTAATAAAATTCTCTTTAGCAAGTTGGTTGATGAAACTTAGAGGAACATGCATCTAATTTAAATCCAGATTACCTTTTCAAAATCTGATTCTTGACAGAAAGTCTTTATAATAAAAATAGTCTTTATAAGCAAAGATGAACTAATTTTCACCTATTTTATATTTTTAAATTTTTCCCAAATTTAATTGCTCCTTAAATTTCTGAATCATAGCATAATGGATGCAAAAAATATATAGAAAAGTAATTACATATTAGCCTATTTAGAAATAATTTTTTTATTCTTCTTAACATATCTGCTGTCTAACAGAAATTTCAGTGAGGTAAGAAGTCTTATAAGATAATTCAACAGGTGCATGTGTTTGAAGTTTGTGCTATTTCCTACATCTTAAACATCTATGCTGTTTGGGAGGGGAAAGTTTTTGTAAATGCATGTATAGGTGTGGTGTTAACAGTGTGTTCATCTAAAGGATGTGTTAATCACATGTTTGGAATGATCAGGTAATGTAAAATTCCTAAATTACCTATCTTTACACATTAACTGATTCTAATTGAGAAAGAAACTGTAGTCTTGTCTTGGTTTCTTTTCTCCAATTCAACAGAGTAACTCTGTAGTCCTTATTGTTACAGGTTAAAATAAAGCCTAGACTTTGAAACTAAGAAACTGAAGTGCTTTCTTTTAGACTATTTAAAATGGTTACTTTCTGTGTTTATAAATAAAAGTTACCTCATAAAATAAAAGTATTTTGCTTTCTTAGTTTAGATAGTAAGGTATATGACAACGCTAACATCTCTCTTAAGCATGTAAAATTAATGCTACAATACAAATCAAAGTAATTTGGAACTATTTGGTGGTGTGTATTCTCTTAAACATTGTTTGGAAAAAAAATAAAGCAAGTTTTACATTTTCAGGATTGACTTGTGGAACAATGGAAACCTGGTCCAAGATATTTTCCTAGGTGAGATTAAGGTTCCTGTGAACGTGTTAAGAAATGATACCTCTCATCAAGCCTGGTAAGAAGACAAACATTCTAGTGAACTAGCTTTAATATGTTGTACATGCAAATAAATGCTACTATAAGCATAATGAAATAAGCCAAAAGTCATTAACATTAATTGATCTGGTCATTAATTTATTGTTGCAGATATATAAGTACGTTGATAGTTTGATGACTTGACCTCTGGTACTGAGACAAAAGTAGTGAATTGTCTAGGGATATTTTTCTGCTCAAAAACTAAATCCTGTCTCTAAGGAGAAAATGGAAAACATTTTAAACATCACATAAGAGTTGCCCATGTAAGAAGATGCTTGGTCACAAATCAGCATCTGCAGTTGAGAAGCTTCATTAACGGACATGAAAACTTTGGATGTTTGAAGGGAAAGGGCTTATTGTAAGGAATCAGCTGTTTAAGGGATCTAACCAGTGATTTTCCTTCACACCCCATTGAAACGCACTGTACATGGCCCTGATGTTATTTTCTAAATTTCTAGGGTCTAGGTGTTGTTGAGCTGACTCAGTTAGTATACTTTTCAGGAGTTCTGGTGGCTCAAGAATGTTCACAACATTATTTTACCTTTTATTACTCTAATAGTGACATTAAACTGATGTTAAACTAAGCTTAATGCTCAGACATTAAATTGGTGAGTTTCCTTAGCAGAATTGATATGCAGCTATTGTTTGTTCTGCCTACGGCACTTAGAGGCTATATATATCCTGTCCCTTCCAATATCTTGCCCCACAGCCCTCATGCTAGACTTGGGTTTCAGCTGAGTTTGAAAGAACATGCTTTTCTCATTTGCTAAACTTTTAGGACCCACTTTTTAGAACTTAGTTTTAGTTGCCTAGAAGAGGAGTTTGAAACTAAGCGTTTAAATGTTTCTTACCATGGGCACCAATCTCATTTGTCTTTAGAAGAGCCTGCCTCTCCGGATTGGCCTTCAGACATTCTTCACTTAGGACTCTGTTGTCCTCAAGCAGTTTTCCCTTGAAGACTGATTTTTAGACTCTCAAATTTTTTATTTTATTTTTATACCTTATTAATACAGATCTAAGATTTTATTAGTCTTTATGGTAGCATTTTGTATGTTATAATTTCTAAAATGCATCCACAGAGGAGGGAAAAATTAAACCTAGTCACTGTGAAAAATTGAACATTTGTCACCTTCCAATCCCCAATCCCCCACATGTCTTCTTTTACCTTCCATAAAGTACCGTACATTGTAGAATGAAAATTTTTGAACTCCATTTTTTGAGTCTTTAAAATTATGTGCCAAACTACTCATTACAAAGTAAAAAGTAAGTTGTGCCTCCCAGAGCCCCACAAAGTGAACTGGAAATGTGCCACATAACCTGTATTTTAAGTAAGACTATCTTCAGACAGGCCCTCCAAATTTTGCAAAACTGTGTCCAGGTACCTTGGCAGAATGGAAGAACACTAACAAGCAAAAATTAATTTTATTCCTATAGATTTTTTTTTTACCAATAGTATTTTAAAATAACTTGCCAAAGTGTAAGTGCTGAAATTTATCTAGCATGAAATAGGAGTATCTGCTAATTTATTTATGCTCCCATAGCTGTAAGGAAATAGGAAAAATAAAAAGTACCATTTCCTTTTAAGTTGAAATTATTAAACTCTCTTAGCCTCCTTTGTCAGTTGTAGAGCTATAGCATCCCCTTGTGGGATTGATGGCAACTGCATTATCACTCAAAAGCTTTATTTACCCTACAAGATTTCAGATACATTCTTTTTAATCCTGATATTATTAAGAAAGATACAGAATAATGTCAGTATTGTTTTAAAAGCCTTAACTTGCTTTTTCACAGAATTTCTACTTAGTATTTGTCTATTAAAGTCCTTTTCTGAAAACTGATTTTTGATGGTTCCAATTTGATTTTATTCTCAAATTAAACATGGTTCAGTCATTTTCCCTTTCCTTTCTTGGGTCTTCAATCCATAATAATAATGTTTGTTCTTTATTTTGAAACTTCTGTGAAATGTTAGGATTAGCTTGTTACTGTTGATATTAGCTAACTTTAACTTAAACCTATGTAGGTACTAGAATTTTATTTGACTTTTTGAATAAGTAATAATGCTTATATGGTTCACAGTTCAAAAGGTAAAATATGTCACCTGCCTCTGTCTCCGAGCTAATCAGTTTCCTTCTTCTGAGGCAGCAACTGTTTTCAGTTTTGAGTTTTGAAAATATTTTATCAAATACATATATATTCTTCTTTCCCTTTGCTTTACGCAAAGGGACATACACTGCAACCTTGCTTTTTTCACTTAGCAATTTAGTGGAACCTCCATAATTATTTGTTGTCTCTCTGATCGTGGTTAAGAATATAGGCTCTGGAACCAGATGCCCTGATCCACATCCATCGCTGCCCTTAACTACCTGTGTGACCTTGGACAAGTTACTCCACCTGTTCGCTGTGCTTTCTTTGGCTATGAAATGGGGGTAATACAACTAGTACCTGCCTCCCAAAGTTGTTAGAGGGTGAAATGAGCTAGAACAAAGTAAGCTGCAAGTGCTGGGACCATGGGTATAGCTTGTGTTCTCATCATTATAGTATTGCTGCTGTCATCCATTAGTCCACATCAGTACATATCGAATTTCTGCTTTTTTTTTTTTCCTGCACCAGTATTCCATTTTTTGGAATGTTATAAATAAAAAGAATCTATTTCAATTCCATTTCACCAGTTACCTCAGTGTCAGAGAACTTAATGTGTGTACACATTGGCACAATTTGCACCCAAATGATTCAAACTGTAAAAATGTACATTAAGAAAAGAAAATAGATATAAATATCTTTTCATTTGGAAAGTAAGATTCAACTAGTAAATGAAACAAATGGCTGGGGCTTTTTTCAAGTTAATGTTCTTACACATATTTAAAAGTAGATTAATATTTTATTTGAGATTAATTGATTTCCTACTTTGCCAGTTTTAGCACCTAATCTTAATCTCCTATTTTAGTAAAAATCCATTGATAATGTTTATGTTTATGGAATCAGAAATAATATTCAACTGTTAGTAGAGCTGCCTTTGAACAGTTATTTTCCAGCTTATACAGCATTATGAACCAATAATTGTAGGTTTTGCCTGCCCACCTCAATTTCAATTTTACAGACCTTGTAGTTAAAATTTCCAAATGCTGATATTCAGTTCTATTAAGGGCCTGTCAAAACTACTGACTCCTGAAAGCATAAGAATTACTTTTATGCCTTTCTAATTGTGAATGAAAAAAAATATGTGTAGAGCAACTGACTTTCAGTTAATAATTTATCTTTATTTCCTGTTTCTTATTCTTTCAAACTGAAGCACTTTATTCAAAAACTGGAAAAAATGTATTTCAGGATTATTTTTTGTTGTATCCCTAGACCTTAGGCATGCCAGATACTCTATTTAAATAAATCTTGACGTTTTCCCCTTTAGCTCTATGCAGGATTCCTTAATTTACAAGGGATCCTCCAGGTGATATAAATTGAACCTTTTATATCAATGTTTTAAAATATTAAATCACATTTATATAGATAATATAAATAACTGCATTTATCTATAGTTATTTATATATTTAAGTGGTGACAGTTATATGTATGTAAATAACATTTACATAGCGTTTACTGTGTACCAGGCACTATTCTAAGTACTTTACTTATATAACCTCTTTAGAGTTGTTGTAAAAATTAAACCAGACAATATTATTAACCGTTATTTAACATCAGATAAGAAAACAAGCGCAGAAAGACTGAACAGTTTGCTCAAGGTCACACAGCTGGGATTTGAACCAAATTCTCTGCCTCCAAAGTTTGTGCTCTTAACCAATGTACTATAATAACTTTGTACTTTGTCATACATATTTTTGAATATGTTTAAAACTCAAAAATATTCTGTTTTAAGCTGTCAGCAAAGATTTGAGTGGCCTTATAAAATAGTATTTAAAAGAAAATCAAAGTGGTCTCTACTCATTAAAAAAAATGATTTTTTGACATATTTTGAAAGTTTGGTCCTACAAATGTCTCTTGATTTCTTTTTTTCTTTTTTAAATATATCTTTATTGATTTCAGAGAGAGGAAGGGAGAGAGAGAGAGAGAGAGAGAGAGAGAGAGAGAGAGAGAGAGAGAAACATCAATGATGAGAGAGTCATTGGTCGGCTGCCTCCTGCACGCCCCTGACTGGGGATCAAACCCGAAACCTGGGCATGTGCCTTGACCAGGAATCGAACCGCAATCTCCTGAATCCTAGGTCAATGCTCAGCCGCTGAGCCACACCTGGCCGGGCATGTCTCTTGATTTCTAAATATTTCTCTTTCCATGGATACTGAAAGTAAGCATTTTCAGTAGTTACACGGTTACTCTAATATAAAAATCTGTTTATAAACCTTCAATCACTAACTTTTTTTTTCAAAGTTCAAATTTTTGCACATAGGATTTACAAGATCATTTATGCCTTTTTGTGTAGTGTGTCTTATCTATTTTCACTTAATGCATCTTTCTTAAATTTAGTTGGTAAAAAAATTTTTTGATAATATTTAATTTTAAATGTTTTACTTTTTATTTTTTCTAAACCCACAAGCTTATCAAACTCTAATTCAACCCCTTTGAGGTCTTAATTTTTGTATTATCTCTACTTTCTGTTTCTGAATAAAAATCTACTTACAGCTTTCTAGTTCCATATACAACCAATATTAAACCTCTGAAAATTAATAGTCTGCTACTTATGAATTGTCCTAACCTTAAATATTAAGTTCACTTTTTGGTTTCATTTTTTATAGCTTAGCTGTTTACCTCATCATTTGAATGCTTATTACCATCACATGGGATTGACTGTATTTTTACTTTAGGTACTTGCTACAACCAAGAGACAATGGAAACAAGTCATCTAAAACTGATGATCTGGGGTCTCTTCGATTAAATATATGTTATACAGAAGATTATGTGCTTCCTTCAGAGTATTATGGTCCTTTGAAAACCTTGCTGCTAAAATCACCAGATGTTCAGGTACTTTAAAAATCTTAAATGTATAATTTAATATGAAAAAGCTAAAATAGTTCTGTAAATGATGAAGAAAAGATTTCAGTGTGTCAAGTTTTATTAATACAATAAAAATATATATACAGGGGTGGGCAAAAGTGGTTTATAATTTTTTTTTTTAAGAGAATCTTTTTTTTTTTTTTTTTAATATATCTTTATTGATTTCAGAGAGAGGAAAGGAGAGGGGGAGAGAGAGAGATAGAAACTATCATCAGTGATGAGAGGGTCATTGATTGGCCGCCTCCTGCACGCCCCCAACTGGGGATCGAGCCCGCAACCCGGGCATGTGCCCTGACCGGGAATCGAACCCCAATCACCTGGATCCTAGGTCGATGCTCAACCGCTGAGCCACGCCCAGCCGGGCAAAAGTGGTTTATAATTTTGAATAAAAGAAACACAGAGTTTATTCTTGTATTATTAATTATTGTAAACCTACTTATTAATTACTCCCCTTTATGCACACACATATGAATATTTAATTCATCTGAACTATAATACTGTGATTCCAATATGTGTTCTAAATTTCATCTCTTATAGTTATTGGACATATTTGAATTACTTTTACAGGTTAGTGATTAAACATTTAGTTACATTTCCTTGATTTTGTGCTTGTTTTCTACCTGTCTATATTCCAGCCTATATCTGCCTCAGCTGCTTACATTTTGGGTGAAATATGTCGAGATAAAAATGATGCTGTTTTGCCCCTTGTACGACTGCTGCTGCACCATGATAAACTTGTTCCTTTTGCCACTGCAGTGGCTGAATTAGACTTGAAGGATACACAGTAAGTATTATATTAAATGTTAATTATGTGGTATTGAATCTAAACCTTAGTTTGTCAGACTGTTTCTGTAATCTTAGTTCTTTTGTATTGACCAGCTTTATTGTATCGTAGTCTAAAAAGAATTGCTTAGCATGTAATAAAAGGCAATTCTTTAAGTTAGCAAACAGTATCCACCAACAGTAAAATGAACAATTAATGAAGATGGGGTTTTTTTAACTTAGTGTCAGAATTTCTTTGCTCCTTGTTATGATTCACATGTTACAAATAAAACACCAGGTCAGAAGTTCCTTTTTTCTTGTCCATTGTGTAGCACTCTGATGGGCACAGGTGTGACATTGTAAAAAACAACCTGGTGGCTTCCTGTTCCCGTCATAGCCTTACACTGTTGTTTCTCTCTCTCTCTCTCTCTCTCTCTCTCTCTCTCTCTCTCTCTCTCTCTCTC